CCCCCCCCCTCTTGTACTTGCGCGCGCGTACGCGCACCGCCTCCGTCCTAAATAATGACGTGCCACCGCGCGGCAATTTTGCAGTCGGTGGATTTTAATGTCCGTTCCCACCGTCGCGGGGAATATACGACGGCAACGTGATTACATGTCGCGCGCGGATGCATGTCGTCGTGCTCTCGTCGTCGTCGTCGTCACCCGGATACGTACGTAAATGACAGGTAGGTCCGCCGTACACGCGCGGCATAAGATACGCGGCCGAACGAGCACGGTAATGCGAAAAGCATTTTGCAATTAAGCGCGGAAAAAGGAGTTTTCCATCCACGACATGCTCTCCATCGCCGTCGACGCGGCGCGTATATTACTTATACAGCCGCGCGCGTCCGAAAACCGGCGGAGACGGTGCGGGCGGCGAGGAGAGATGAAAAATTAACGATATCTCTCCGCCTCTTCTTTCTTTCCGCTCGAATGATCCCCGACGACCTTCGCGATACACGTCGTTCAATTGATCGCGACGAACGACTCTTCTTCTTTGTGCTCTACGACTACGTACGCTCGCAAAATATACTCGACTTCGGCATTATCGGTGCATCTCGGGGAGGGGGAGTGTGATTTCACTCGATTTAAAGGAGAGCGCATCGATCGACCGGTCGATAAGTCGCCGTCGATCTTAATCGTCGGGTCCGTCCAGCCAACGTCGCGTTTGGTTGTATTTAATTTCTAATCGTTTCCACCTTGATCCTTTTCAGCGATAGGAAGGACGTTAATACCTAGGTACTTCCGCTCGATATTCGAGGGCGGAGTGACGGAACTTTACTACACTATGAAGCATCCGAAGGAGTCGTTTCATAACACCAGCATAACCCTGGACTGTGATCACTGCGTCATGGTCACGCATCATGGAAAGCCGGTCTACACGAAGGTACGAGCGCCTCTCCTGCGCCGGAACTCGCGCGCTTACGTTAGAATTTATCACGCTTCCGATTGCCGGTATTTTCGCCCGTGTGCTCGGCCGAACCGTCGAGCCGATAACAATCAATACGGACTGTAATAACTAGAAGAAGTCGTAAATTTGCAATCCTCGTTTCCGGAGACTTGAGACGGAGACGCAGTTGGAAAGATTCGTCCTAATACATCGCATAAATATCACTATGTGGACGATCGCTGATTGCGCATTGTTAATGACGGGATCAATCGTTCTCGCACCGAGAGGAAAGATTTAAACACGCGAAGAGGATGAAATTAAATTAAAATTTCGCCGCGAATCTCTCTCCCTTAAACGCAAGTTCTACGAACTTCGGCTTCGGTGACGCGCCGAAATCAAGCACCCTCGAAATAGACGAGGCGGATATTGTTATCTGAAACTCATTTTAGGTGTGCACGGAGGGTAGGTTAATATTGGAGTTCACCTTCGACGACCTCATGAGGATAAAGTCGTGGCATATGTCGGTGAGGGGGCATCGGGAGCTAGTGCCGAGGTCGGCCTGCATGCAGCAGGACCCGAGTGTGCTGGAGCAGCTCAGCAAGAACATCACCAGGCAGGGCATCACCAATTCCACCCTCAACTACCTTAGGGTGCGTATCCGCAACGCGAGAGTGTCGTAACTCCGCCGTCGTAACTCCAGCGCCGGATTGACCGCGTCCGCGTTCCCGCGAGTATGAAAACTCCTCGAGATTTTCCTCTTCCGCGACCTCACGATTTTTTCTGAGTTATCGAAAGAAGCAGGTCACAGTGAATCGAAACATTTCATATTCTCTGACAATGGAAAACAATCGAAAAAATAGAATAATGGTTTGTTTCAAAACGCGGGGGGATTTCGTTTCCGAAAGAATTGATGCCGAAGAATGAGAAATTAATAATATCCTGGCGTTTTTAAAACTTGGACGATCTTGTATAAATTTCCGTCACCGACGAGGTAATATTAAGACCCTGGACAGATTTTTGTGGGTCCGAGGGGTCCGGAGGTAATTGAAAAAGAATAGTATTGTCGACAATTTTTAATCATTCGATTTAAGTACCTGGATGTTCAGTGTGTAATAAAGTATTAATTTTATAATTTACATCTATCTCGATGATTCCTTTTGACGTCTCTGCTGGACTACACAGATAGACATGTTTGCGTTTGTTTATTATAGTTTTTTAATTATTAAAACTGAATATTGAAACTAGCCAAAAGTAGAGTACGAAACATTTGATCATATAATTTTCTGTTTCTCGTATGTTTGTATAAGGAATCAGAAAAAATTGTTTACGTCCGCTTTCAACGTTCAATTTTTATACACACGCACTTGCCTGTACATATTTTATTATTATATTTGCTTTTTTTCTTATTATTAATATATCTCGATGTGTTATCGCTATATATCCAGGCTTACAATGAAATTTATTAGATCTTTTTTTGTGAAATTACATTTCTGCAGTTATCACCAACATTAATTTGATACAAATTTACCGTCAAATTTTTATCGACCGAAAGTTATTGAACAACGAAATTTTGCAGAATCCCGTAAGGTCAATGGTCCTAAGAGGATGTCGAAGTCGATGACGAACTCGATAAATATTGATAATGTAGAGGCGATCTTCAATGTCATGTTACATAAAAACTGACAAGTCACGCTACTCTTTTTGTATATATTTCTCACATATTCATACATTATATTTTATATATAGATCTTATGTAAATGTCAGTGCGATATAATATGTGAAGGCGATTAGTTGCGCTACTGTTTTATCATATCTAACGGCAAATCTAATCAAGACGTAAAAACTTTTCTGCAAACTTTTCGTATCTTTTTAGGTTTCTAAATTTAATTAGAAATATATACAAATGTTCTTGGAAATTTTCTTGATTGGAGCACTGATACATTCGATACGTGCAAGTTGCAAGATTTCTGTATTATATAAATATTTACACTGACAGCTGGAGATGTCAGTTTTGCAATTTTTTGTCGTTTTCGCCACTGAGCAATGCTCCAATTCATTTTCCCCGTATAAAAGCACTTATAATTCTGTGCAACCAATAAGACATCAACTTTGAAGAGAAGAATCAGTATTCTGTCGGTAGAGTTTTCAAGTATGGCATCCCGTTAAATATTACCTCGTCTGCGTTTGAAATCGATAGCTGCGCGTCAAATCGATGATGATTACGATCGCGCTGATAAAGAAAGCGTGATATATTCCGTCGGAAATTTCAGGATATCCGGCGGATTCGCGCGTAAAATGTCACACGAGTGTCTATTTAGAAGCGGTATCGGAAGCAAACAATCGCGGGCGAAAATAATAACAGCGGGAAAAAACGATCGCGGCGAGAAGGTGTGTCGGCGCGCAGGGTTAAACCGAGCTGTCTCGGAATAACGTTCTCGAAAGTACGCCGGCTATCCGGGTTACGATCCACCTTCTTTCCGCGCTCGGAAGCGCTTTCACCGAGCGCCCGCGCATTCCGCCGTGTATCGTCCCGGAGAGCCGGTTGAAAAGCCGTCGATTGTTACGTCGCGGGAAAGTCCTCGCCCATTGTTGAACTGGTACGCGATGTTCGGAAAGCACGAGCGGCTAAGACCGGCCGAATAATTTCTCCTTGCGAACGGTAGAATCGCCGGCGACGAAAGCGGACTCCGGCTGATTCCGCGCGGGGCCGTGAACGCTTCGTCGCGCTGGTCGCGGCCACGTCTCATCCTTGAAATTTCCCGGCAGAAACGCGATAGATGAGAGACCGCGAGTTGAAACGTTAGGTTGAACGAGATGCAGAACGCTCGATTTTGATCCAAACGCGAAAGTTCGCGCAGGAATCGTAGGAGTTTCGGTATCGCGAATGTTGTTCTCGGTGTTGCCTTCGGGCAGCGACGACTTCTCATTACGGCCGAGTCTTGACAGGGGGTTGTTCTTTTACAGTTATGCGTGATCTTGGAGCCGATGCAGGAGTTGATGTCGAGGCACAAGGCGTACGCGTTGTCACCGCGCGACTGCTTGAAGACGACCTTGTTCCAGAAATGGCAGAGGATAATTGCACCGCCGGGTAAGAGAGGTAGACGAACAGTTGCTTTACATGAGAAGCACCAGCCAGTAAGATCCAACGGCCACGTCCGTGTCGACAACGGGAATCGCTTTTTGCCGTCGCGGAACGACGCATCCGTTGTCGTCGCTTTCCTTCGCCGCGTCGCGACTCTTGGTTCCACCGGTTTTTCCTCGAGAGAGCCGGGAATCGCCCAATTTTCCCCCCCAGGATCCTCCCGCACCCTCCTCTCTCTCCCCTTTGCTGACGAGAGATCTCGCGTTTTTCGCAAGGATCGAACGTAGCGCGACGGTGAAATCGTGTCTTCTTGCGCAAGGAGACAACCGAGCGACGTTCCCTAATATGGATAATTGTTATCCGTTTTATAGATAGATCAGACGCTTGTGAGGGTTACAGCATTCTCCCATCAATTCTCCGTGTGCCCGTCTCAGCACTGTACAGCTTTGATAGAGAGGTATGCTAACGGCATTAGTAAGCTTAGACTTCACGAAAGCTTTCGACATTGTGAAACGTGAGCTACTCCTTGCCGAAATGAAATATTGTGGTATGTCCGCTTCCGTGCTTGCCTCTCTCCGATCTTCCTTTACAAACTGCTCCCAACGCATCCTTGGGTGCAATCCTCTTCTTATCCTCTTCTTATCACTGTTCGGTGTCGTATTTTCTGGCGGTATTCGATTCTTGTCCCGTGATTTTTTCAGCCCATCTGACATCGTTGCCAATTGATTTGCGTATTTTTGTATACGCCGATGGTGCGTTTCCTTTGAAGCCTTTCGGGGTTTACGAGACGCACGGATCTCGTTGTGTTTATAATACGTTGTGAACGATTCCACACGTTTGTCAGAAATAGCAATTACATAAGGAGAAAAGCTGCCGATAAAAGCCAAGTATTGCAAATAGCTGGGGAAATTTCAAGGATGAAATCTCCTGGAATCACAGAGTGTCGCTAAAATTAGCCCTTATCTTCCTCTATATCTTCCTATATTATCTTCCTTGATAAATTCGCAGAGAGATGTGGTATTATTTGCAAAAGAATGTTCAAGTATTATTAGGAAAATGGTACCTAAAAACTCCACATTTCTATGTTATACTATAATATTCTATGTTATACTATAATATTATATACAGAGAGTTTAGAATAAGCATAACAGTATATATATATATATATATCTTATTTTCTCCACATAAACTGTTACCTACTACTTTGTTTTTCCTTTGTTCGATTATGTCGATATATTTTGCATATTTTCGTTTCATTCTTGTATTGGTCGACGTCGTTTGCCTGTCAGAATCCAGCGTATCAGAAATTTTTGTCTCCACTTTGTATACAACTGCATCTTATGCGCGTGTGACGTGTTTATATTGCAACACAGATTCCTACCAAATCTTTTTCATTCGTCTTTTCAATCCCAGCTCTCCTTCTTCCCTTTCATCGCATAGTAAGATCCGAAAATGCTTTTTTCGTACAATGCAGTACGATTTTTCAACTTGCTACCTAATAACATCCGTTCCGCTTCATCTCTTCCCGCCTTTCGCAATACTGCCAGTCTCTGCATCGTCTTTCATTTAATTATCACATTCATCTTCATATCCTTGTCAATCTAAGATTAGCCAGGCATTAATCATTTTCTTGGATTAGGTGTAATTACATCGATACGGCTCTGTCGCCTGGCCCTTTGGATACTGCCATACGAAGTATCCGACTAATTGTGCAGACCAAAAGAGAAAAGACCGTAAGCTAAACACCCAATAACTCAAGGAACAGCAACAATATATATCGGTGGATACCAGTGACTCGGTTTCCTCCCGACCGCGTTCAGCGTTCCGCGCCCGGGATTCTCGCGTCCGCTCATCGCTCTTATCGTCTTTATCGTATTTACGCGTGCGCCGCGTTTCCTGTTTCTGCCGACCACTTGCGACTTTGTGGGTCATGCACACACCTCCTCCGTCTCATATCTCTCCGAGGATCGACGAAACCGTGGAACCAAGCGCGTGCTACGCCAAATATCGTGATATATCGAGCATGTCTCGCTGTAAAGACCGCTTGAGAGCGCAAAGTATTAACTAGCATGCGCGGGAGGGAGAGGAAGAGAGGGGAGATAGAGACACCATGTGTCTGAGCAATTTTGTGTGCGTATTTGCCTGCCTATATCAGATGCATGCCAGTTTGCGCCGTGTCAGAGACCTTTGCTGATGAGAAAGGTCCACAGCTGGGTAGTGCTCTTCGATTTATCGAGGTCCTTTTATACTTTCCCGCTCCGTGTTTGTGTCGTGCGACACGTGCACGGCGCGGATACGGGAGACGGGTAAGTGTAAAGAGGACTCTTAGTTCGCCACGCGTGGCTAAACGCCATCGAGTGCGCGCGCGCGAGCGTCATCGTGTTGACAAGGAGCCTCTTTTTGCAGAGTCGCAGCGGCCCGCAAGCAAGAGAAGAAAGCGAAAGGGCAGCACATCGGGGCCGGGCAACAACGCGCCTCCTGCGCCGAGTAAGAAGAGATCGCCAGGGCCAAATTTTTCCCTCGCGTCACAGGTGAGTCCCCTACATGTGTACGGAGCTCTGTAACTCCCGAGCGCTACTCGTTCATTCCTATAATAAGGCTGGCATTCATAGTCAAATCTTATGTTTAAGATCGTCTTGAGTTCATCTACAGATGATTTGTAGCCAATGAAATGAGCCGTACAACAGCTGAAGATAACTCAAGGCGGTCTTATGAATATCGACTTAAGAATGTGGATACCGTCGCTGTGCCCGTCATGTTTGGGTTAAAACCAGAAACCATATATTATTAAAATAGGCAAACCGATATGAGTTAATAATTAATCACAATTGAAATACACAAGCTCACTTTCTTTTAATACATTTCGTGGACTTCGTAGATGGCCAATTTTTGCTTTATTGTTATTGAGCTGATAATTTTAGTTGCTTTCCAACAAAAGACACAAGTCTAGTTATGTCATCATATTCTTGTTTCGCATTTAGTCAAAAAAAGGATAATAGATGATATAACTAAACTTGTGTCAATTGTTGTCTCTTGCTGGAAAACAGCCTTTGACATTATCCCAACCGGAAGTTTGCCCAAACATGGCAATAAGAGATCAAACATACGGTGTCCAGTCTCTTATCGCCTTAGTTTACACCGGTCATTTAATACGTGTACTAACTAGTAACTTTTTATTATATTATCTTGATAACGGCTTGATATCCTATCAAGCTTGATGCGTATTGTGCCAGTTTGGGACGCCGTCGTTTACATGCGTCGTCGATGTTAAGATAATCTAATAAAAAGTTACTAGTTAGTACGCATATTAAACGATCGGTCTAAACTAGCACATTATAAAGACTCTACTATTCGTTGATCGCACGCTGATATTTGCCTCGTGCGAAGCGAAGCGCTAATTGATCGTGTTTCTTTTGTTCCAATGCGATGACATCAGGACGTAATGGTTGTGGGTGAACCCTCCCTGATGGGCGGTGAGTTCGGCGACGAAGACGAGCGACTGATCACGAGGCTGGAGAACACGCAGTATGACGCTGCGAACAGCCTGGATCCTCATAGTCATGACGCGACCGGCGGCCCACCCCCGCATCCCCATCAGTTTCACTCGGAACCGACCCCGGGCAATTCCTGGCCGCCAGATCGTGGCCCTGGACCCCCACAGGGTGGACCTGGCAGTCAGGTAACTTTAATGGAAAACATGCTCACGAATCTTAGGGCAACATGTAACATAACATATCCGATGCTTACCCCAAAGAGGAAGAAAGAAATTACAAAGAGAACAAAGAATAAGACTGATAAATATGTAAAAAATATGTAAAAATATGTTTGTAACGCGAAAAATGTCATATATAAAACAAGTATTACTGATATTACTGTTTTTCATTACTATTATCCTTTTTAGAAGAAAGAATTTGTAAGTGTAACGAGATCAAAATTTAAGTCCCGTCACAAGCTCGAATGAATCTAGCCGCTCGGACGACACGCGAACACCACTATCCAAGATTAAAAATAAGACTTACAAGACACACTTTGAGCAATTAACTCTCCAGTTTAGGCACAACGCGTAAGAGCACGCACGCTGTTCCAGGGTGTCCAGGGTGGCCAAGGTGGCGCGGCTGCGGGAGTACAGGGATCGCAGGACGCCAGTCAGCAGCAGCAAGACAAAAAGAGCCCCGCGGTGAGCCAGTGAGGCCAGGAGTCCCCGCGCCCCCCCACCAGGGGGCGACGGGGGCGCAGGCCCAAGAACGTGGCTCCCTAGCGGGGCGAGAATCCCAGCCTCCCCACCGCCGCCTATCTGGGCCCTCCCGGCTCCACGGCTGGCAGAATGTCGCACGTCGGCATGCTACCACCGCTCTCTTGCCAACCCGGTCTGCCAGCCGCTCACCATCATCATCCGGAGCAGCATCCGCAGTTAGGTCACGTGACCGCCGCCGCAGCCGCAGCCGCCGCGATGGGGATGGAATCCTCGGAGCTGATGGCAGTAGCTCATTATCAGGCGCAACAGCTGCAGCGACAATTGCTGGCCGAGCAATCGGCCACGGGCGCGATGTTACCGCCGTCTGCTCAGCCTACTGGTGGAGGTTTGACGCAGCCGCTCCAGCAGCCAGGACAGCAAGGTCAACTGCAACCGGGTCAGGACCCATTGCAGAGCCTGGTACAGCAATTGCTCTGTCTACAGCAGATCGAGTACTTCCTCGCGCAGCGCGGTCACAAGTGATAGCACGGAGAACGTAGAGAATGAGAGGAAGAGAGAAAGAGACGGACTGAAGATCGAGAACAAGTTTCCACGCGGTAGTGACGATTGAAGCAGAGAAACGTACGGTGTATACGGGACTCGATACCTCGAGCGGAGGGAAGTAGAGAGCTGGAAGGAGGAGGGTGTGTACGCGTGTTCGTGCCGCTGCGAAAGTGCTGTTTCTATGTCGATAGATGAACTCCGCGCCCGCCGACGTTGCGGCTGAGAGAACGAACCTATTAACCCACGTGATGAGACTCTTCGAGTTTGCAAAGGTCTTTCGGACGGAGGGGAGATGGCGCGGTGTCTCCCAGCACGATGCACACATACACGGGAGGGAATCGCGAAATCCGGATGAAGATACGGCGGAGGATGAGGAGTGACACGACGGGGGTTGTGCGAAGTGTGCCCGTTACTCGTGGATCGCTACGTATCGTTTCGGGACGCCGTGTGCGAACGGTGACCTCCGGTGAGGATAGAGGGAGTCGAGCGTTTTAGCGTGTGATAAAAACTTTATGTCAAATATTATGTTAAATATGTGAGGTGAACGGGGTGAGTGACTGGTGGTGAAAGAGATCGCTTCGGACGGGAAAAACTGACACGAAAAAAACAAAAGAAATGAAAAAAAAAAGAAACGTTACGCAACACGCGGCAGAGACGATTGACCCGCTCTGGCGCGAGTTGTGAATGAATCTCTGTCCGTAAACAGTATTGGTATAATTATAATAGAATAAATGAATATAAAAAAAAATATTGTAAGATGTAATCCTAAGTACTTGTGCAAACGTCAGTGTGCAAGTTAGACAGAATGCGGGTGTGATAGTGAATAAAGTGTGCGTGTGTGTGTGTGTGTGTGTGTGTGTGTGTGAGAGAGAGAGAGAGAGTAAAGATTGTGAGTGTGCGAGTGCGTAAACGGGCGAAAAAGAAAGTAAGGAAAAAAGGAAGAGGCAGAGACAGAGAGAAAAAGAGAGAAATGTGAACGAGAGATCGAGGGTCATCCTCGACTCGCAGATTCTTTAACCGCCGAGACCGTTCGAATGCCAACGCACACAGACCCTGCTGATTGTCTCGAGGACTCTTTATAGAATTTTATCCTTTATTACTACTAATAATTATTTAACGAACCACGAAAAGAGTGAGAGTATTTTGCACAGTAAGCGTATATAAGAGACCTCGCTCCGAAGAAGGTTCACGCGACGTTGGAATGCGTTCTAGCAAGGTGTTAGGGTCTCTCTAGACCGAGACGACGGCGGGATCAATTGCCGCGGTGCAGGAAAATTTGTAAGAGAACGGCCGCGTTCTTCTTGACACTGTCGTTCCGTATTGCGTTTACGGCACATCGCGGTACGACACGTAGCACAGCACGTACCCACGTCCGGTGAATTGTATCCGACTCGAGACTTCACACGCGGATTATTATACCTCTAAGTGTATATTTTACGTTTCATCGTCGATTCGAACGCGCTCCTACTTTTATTTTATTTTATTTTTTTTAACAATCGCTAGAAACTTTATGATTTTACGTAATAGCTGACACTTTATATAGTAATGCGCGTGGTGATTCGATACTTTGTACAATGTACATCCGAGAGAGGAGAGCAGACCGATTTACGCATAACATATATGAAACATATATGATATATATACACACACACACATGCGTGTACGATTAATGCGTACACGTAAATTTCTATTGTATAAAGTTCCTTGCGCATTACATGTAAACGTCATGTATGTTCCTCATTATATATTAATATACGATGATGATTTGTTCCTATTTTTGTATCGCTCTTTGTGATTCGTTATGTTCCCTTCTCACAGTGTCGAGATGATTTTCAAAAGAGATTTCCTTCCGGAATCGGTCCTACCGCGACAATCTTTTTTAAATCATCGGTATAAGCAATTCGACGATCTCAGTGTGCCTTTTCGGATCTCCGAGTCGCCTCGTGAACTTTTTCCGGGCACGATCACTGACCGGACACGTCGGCGATAAATTTCCGCAAGCGCGCGTGAAATTTTGAATATCAAACGAGATCTGATACCCTCAGAATTGATTTCTCGCGCGCGAATCCATTTTCGTAGTGATCATCTGCGCGAAAACGTTCACGATCGACGACGAGATCCGAAGTCACGCGCATTACTGTTGAAAAATGTAAGAAAGGAACATCGTTCTAGTTGTATAATCGTCATACATCACAGTGCTATTCGTTGGCGCGTTTTCCCGTATGCCTAACGTCACTACGCGAGCGCGACGTTGGTACGAGCTCTGCTTCGATTTCGGAATTCAGGCTCCTCGAGTATACACACGCAGGACACATTCATTCGGTCATGTACACACGGAACCCGCGCATACACACACACACACACACACACATGCACACGTGCACACAATTCGAGTGTCGCGAATCGCACCGTTCGCACGAAACCATCACTCGCGAAGTAGACTGGCGCGTCGTTCGCGCCGCGGCGTTTTCAACATCGGGTCGTTAACCGATTAACGCAAACCCGCGCTCCGCAGCACCGGAGAAGAAGAAGAAGAAATAGCAGCTTTCGCTTACAGTTTTCGTTGTATCGCGAAGTCGAGGGCCAAATTACGTTCCATGAGGGAACTCCGACGGGAAACTTGTAAAGTCAAAAAGCGCATTATCAGAATCGAATGTGTAGCGAAATCTTCGAACTGGACCATTCTTGAACGGGCGGATCGGGAAAAAAGGGGAAAAGTTCGTTCATCCGCTCGTCGAATTTTACACGGACGAGGAGGACGAGGAGGAAGAGAGAGAAAGAGGGAAGAAGGGCGATACATGTATATGCATTTCGTCACGTCCATAAAATTCCGCGTTCTCCGGAGCGAAAGGCATATCACGCGGAGCGGCGGGGATGCAATTTTAATAAGCATGTACAAAGCTCATCACACGTACGCACATCACCACCACGCGCGATTACCATTTGCCTTCTTTCTTTTTCTCCCCCCCCCCCCCC